GGGTGGAGCAACCAGTCCTCAGGCCCCTGATGTGGGTAGGTGAAGACGCTGCTTAATGGGCAGAGCAGTGTCAAATGTCACGAACTTGCCACTTCACAGATGAAGTCAGACTTCAGGTATATATCCTGTTGTACGTGGTAATGAGGGCCTACTCTGTTGAAATGGGCCCACACAAGTCTATGCAGGGGGAAAGGCACTCAAAGTCCATGGATCCCTTAAGCCTGTGCCTAGGCAAAGGAGCTGTGCCTACCCGTTTGTTAATTTGTTCACTCTCCAAGGCTGGGAGAGTTGCTCAGGGTGCGTGACAGGTCCTACTTCTGGCCCAGGGGACTTGGCAATTGCTGAAGCTGGTGCGGGACCCAGTGCAGAGCAGGCAGCGGGAAGGTAAATGGGAGAGAGGTTTTTCCCTAAGGGGGATGTTTTTGATCCGCGCTGTAGACCAAATGCAAGCACTTGTGTTTTGCAGATCGAAGGCTGCTTCTCACTTGTTCTGGATGGCCAAGTAGACTCTCTGCCACTGGGTCTCTCCTGGTATAGAAAACACCTCCCGAGTGCCGCTGCTTGCCTGCCTCACTGCTCACCCACTAGCTGATCAGGCCTGAAGGGCTCAGGCTTTCACCAGGTCAGGTCTGGCAACTCCTCACTGCTTCCAAACTGTCTCTCCCTCCCCCTGCTACTCACTCTGGTTCCTCAACATTGCCTTTGATGCTTAGGGCTCTTAGATTGTCATATATAATTGATTCACTTGTTTTTTCAGATCTTTGTTGTAAGAGTGAACACCGGAAACCTCTGACTACTCTGCCATCTTGGCCCTGCCTCCTGTCATTTGATTTCTTGACTGCTGCTTCCATGGTCATTGATTGTGGATCCAAGTAAAACTAAATCCTTGACAACTTCAATATTTTTTCCATTTATCATGATGTTGCTTATTGGTCCACTTGTGAGGATTTTTGTTTTCTTTACGTTGAGGTGTAGTCCATACTGAAGGCTATAGTCTTTAATCTTCATCAGTAAGTGTTTCAAGTCCTCTTCACTTTCAGCAAGCAAGGTTGTGTCAGCTGCATACAGAAGTTTGTTAATGAGTCTTCCTCCAATTCTTATGCCGCACTCTTCTTCATACAGTGTAGCTTCTCAAATTATTTGCTCAGCATACAGCTTGAATAAATATGGTGAAACAATACAACCATGATGCATACCTTTTCTGATTTTAAACCATGCAGTAGCCCCTTGTTCTGTTCAAATTACTATCTCTTTTTCTATGTACAGGTTCTGCCTGGGCACAGTTAAGTTTCCTGGAATTCCCATTTTTTGAAATGTTATCCATAGTTTGTTATGATACACAGACAAATGCCTTTGCATAGTTGATAAAACACAGGTAAACATCTTTCTGGGATTTTCTGATTTCACTCAACATGTATCTGACATCAGCCATGATATCCCTCATTCCTCGTCCTCTTCTGAATCCAGCTTGAATTTCTGGCAGTTCCCTATTGACGTACTGCTGCAACTATTTTGAATTATCTTCAACAAAATTTTACTGCCTGTAATATTAATGATATTGTTTGATACTTTCCACATTCTGATGGATCACCTTTCTTTGGAATGGGCACAAATACTGATCTCTTCCAGTTGGTTGGTGTCATGGGTTGAATTGTGTCCTCCAAAAATATGTGTCAACTTGGTTAGGCCATGATTCCCAGTATTGTGTGATTGGCCACCATTTTCTCATCTGATGTGATTTCCTATGTGTTGTAAATCCTACCTCTATGATGCTAATGAAGCAGGATTAGAGGTAGTTATGTTAATGAGGCAAGACTCAGTCTACAAGATTAGGTATTCTCTTAAGCCAATCTCTTTTGAGATATAAAAGAGAGAAGTGAGCAGAGAGACAGAGGAACCTCATACACCAAGAAACAAGAAGGAGGAGAACAATGTGTCCTTTGGACTCAGGGTCCCTGTGATAAGAAGCTCCTCAATCAGGGACAATTTATGACAAAGACCTTCCCCCAGAGCCGACAGAGAAAGCCTTCCACTAGAGCTGGCACACTGAATTCTGACTTCTAGCCTTCTAGACTGTAAAAGAATAAATTTCTCTTTGTTAAAGCCATCTACTTGTGGCATTTCTGTTATAGCAGCACTAGATAAGTAAGATAGTTGGCCAGGTAGCTGTCTTTCAAATTTCTTGGCATAGACGAGTGAGCATTTCCAGCGTTGCATCTGTTTGTTGAAGTATCTCAATTGGTATACCATCAATTCCTGAAGCCTTGTTTTTCACCAATGCCTTCAGTGCAGCTTGGATTTCTTCCTTCAGTGCCATCGGTTCTTGATCATATCTACCTCCTGAAATGGTTGAACGTTGACCAATTCTTTTTGGAACAGTGACTCTGTGTATTCCTTCCATTTTCTTTTGATGCTTCTTGTATAATCTCAACTAGTTTTATGTTATAAAATCAGTGTATACACATTTGCCTTTTTGAAGCAATTTCTTCAAATATTAAGCCAAGAACTGACCTTTGTATATAAAAAACACATTTATTTAGTCATCCAACTTCTACAGTCTGTATTTTGCATACTATGTTCAGTAGCATTATATATAAGAATGCTCAGAATGTTGCTCTCAAAAAATAAGCATATAATTATTTTAATATTAAAGTAGTCGTTATGATATTTTCTTGTTTAAAGTGGAAAACCGTTCAACTTCATTATGTTATTGCAGTACTTGTTTCCATAGCAACTCTTCACTTCACTGTGTTAGTAATCATAGACTCACAGCACTTGAGGGGATCTTGGGAAACATGTAATAGAATGCTCTCATTGTTTAATTAAGAAATTGAAGCCCAGAATCTCAGACTCACTATGACTTACCCAAGGTCAGCCCAGTAATGTCAGAGCAAGATGTGTAAGGTGGGCCTTCTAATCCCCATTTCAGGATTCTTTCAATTATACTACACTACCTCCCACTGTTCTAAACAAATTAACACTAAAATTACACAAACACATGCACACAAACACACGCCATATATACACTAATGAAGATCAACATATCCAAGTAATTTTATTAAGGCCATCTCTTTTAAGAGTCAGCCTTTTTGAATTTTTATTCAGAAGAAGAGTCAACCTTATTATGAATTTTCAGGATTACAAATAAAAATGTTACTGTCATTTTCTGTTGTTATTTTGGCATGATAACGACAAGATAAGTTGTTGGATGTGAATACAGGACATCAAAACAATCGCTTAAAAAGAGAAAAAATCATTATCAAACAAGTATTTTGTCTTCTTAAAGTCTCAAACTGCTTTGTAGGACTTTTCATTAATTTTACTTAAAGTATCTATTTTAAGAATTTATAAATATAGCAAAAAAAAATCAAAGATATAAAGAAAATCTTTAACCAGTGATATCTAAGCAGTTTACTTTACTCTTTCAATTTGCTAACCACCATAATAATGAGTAAAACAAAACACTATAAGAAAAGTAATTCTTCTATTTAATCAAAAATTAACAGATTTTAGACTTTAGACCTGTGCTGTTCAATACAGCAGCCATTAGCAACATTTGAAATGTGGCTGTCTGAACTGAGATGTACCGTAAGTGTAAAATACACAGCGTATTTTGAATACTGTGCAAAAAAAGGGTATCTCAATAACGTTTATATTGATTATATGTCGAAATGATAATATGTATATACAGAATTAAATAAAATATATTATAGAAATTAATGTTACCTGATTCTTTTTACTTTTTAAAAAATAATTTATTTTACTTTTGTTGTTGTTGAGAATATACACAGCAAAACATACACCTATTCAACAATTTCTACAAGTAAGACTCAGTGACTTTGATTACATTCTTCAAGTCATGCAACCATTCTCAACCTCTTTTTCTGAGCTATTCTTCCTCAATTAACATAAACTCACTGCCCCCTAAGTTTCCTATCTAACCTTTCGGGTTGCTGTTGTCAGTTTGATCCCATATAGACAGATCTTAAAAGAGCACAATGCTCAAGCAGACATTGTTTACTAGTTAAGCTAAACTATTGTTTGGTTTTAAGAAGATTTCAGGGGATATTTTTGGTTTAAGGTTTAAAGATTATCTCAGGGCAATAGTTCCATGGGTTCATCCAGCCTCCATGGCTTCATAAAGTCTAGATTCCATGAGAATTTAAAATTCTGTTCTGCATTTTCCCCTTTTTGATGGTTTCATGGGACATCCTAGTTAATTGGCCTAATAACATGTTCAGTGCCTCAGTTCTACCTCCTAGTTCATTGGGTAGTGCCTGGGGTCTTAAAATCTTGCAAGTGGGCATTCAAGGTACAATTGGTCTCTATTCACCTAGAGCAACAGAGAAAGAAGGAGAGTCAAGAATAGGAAAAGGAAATGGAATGTGTGATTAATTGCCTCCATGAACAGCTGCCTCCTTTGCCATGAGACCAGAAGAACTGGATGGTGCCCAGCTACCATTACTGAACATTTTGATCAGATTCTTTTTATTTTTAATGTGGCTACTAGAAAATTTAAAATGACATATGTGGCTCATATTTGTGGCTCCCATTATATTTCCATTGCTCAGCCCTGGTCTAGACCATTCACTTACTAATTGTCCTGTCTGAAATATTTCATTCCCCATTTTCCTCAGGTCTAGAACCTACCCTACTTTATCAAACGCGACCTCCTTGAGCCGTTTTCTGACTTCTCCCATCAGAAAGCGATTTCTCATTCTCTAACCTCCAAGAGCATCTTTCTGCTCATCCCGCTCATTCTTTTCTGCTGGCATTGCTGGGATCTAAGTTATTGGCAAGTAGAGTTCATGTTCAATGTATGTTTGTAAACTGCAGAACAACCATCATGGAGCTTTAGTAAAGCATCAGTAAACTTTCATTAGATAAGTAGGCAAATAAATTCATATGTAGTAAGTACATTCTTTGCTCATTTTTGTTCAGATAAAAACATTTTGAGAATTTTCTGAAGTAGGTCTATGACTTAGAAAGAGGATACATACCAACTGACTCTCTGATATTGTAGAGGATGGTGAGGAGAGATTTGCCTGCAAAATATAAACATGCTGTTAATTAAATGAAATTCATACTGTAGTAAAATAATATATCTATGTTTTTAAGTACAGGCAGTCCTTGGATTATGAATGAGTTCCATTCCTAAGTCTGTCTTAAGTCGAATTTGCATGTACATTGGAACAGTTAGGTACGGTTCATAGCTATGTCAGTTAGTCAAACATTTGTCTTATTATACAGTATATAGTGTACCTTTCTATGCAAAAAAAAAAAACTATTAAGGAAACACTTCCAGATACACTAAAACATCTTTAACATAATAATACAGTAATAATAAATAATAATAATGCTTTGATACACATCACAAAGCAACACTTGTTTGTTATTATGAACCATTGTATGTACCTCGAATTTTTAATATAATAGGCTTTTACAGAGGTTGATTCGTAAAAACGGATTGTAGGTAAGTGGGATGTTCATAACCCAGGGACTGCCTGTATTCTGAAGTTCTTTTATTATTAAAGTAATCTCATGTTGGCATTTTAAAGAGTATAGAAAAGTATAAAGATAAAAATATCATTATGCCAACAACAAAAAAAATGACTTTCAACATTTTTGGTACGTTGCCTTACAATTTATTTCCTATGCATTTTTATTCAGTTCACATAATAGTTAAAATGATTTTTTATATTATGCCTTTCCTCTCTTTTTTTTACCATAAGTAATATCATATGATATCAAAACTTCTTCAAGGTTTCATAATATTTCATTATTTGTATTCTTCCTATTTTACTTAAACATACTAGCATTGTTCAATATGTATGTTTACTTACAACAAGTTGATAAAAATAACAGATTTTTCCTTTAAATTTTATTTGTAAGGAAAAACAAAGTTTTCATGATTTGGGAAGAGAAATGATTTGATTTTTAAGACTGTTTTACATTAAAGAGCAGGTTAATATTATTTCTTCATCCTTGGTTCTTGTATTTTAATCCATTCACCTGAACTTGATTTTCTTCTTACTGACGTAAATACTTTGGTAGTTTTTTCAGAACTTACTGTATCATACACTGAAAATGTTTTTATTTGTGCTCATTCTTGAATGAGAGTTCAACTGGGCATAGAATTCTAAGCTACTATTGACTATATCTCAGCATTTTGAAGCTATTACCCTACTGGCTCTGGCTTCTGTTACCGCTATCAGTCTAAATGTCATAAACCTGGCGGATCATGTGCCTTCACATTTGGTTAGCATGTAAGATTTTTCTCATTGACATTCTACAATTTCATTATGATGTGCCTGGGGGTGGATTTCTTTTTATTTATCCTTTGTAGGACTTGGTACATTCCTTTATGCTGAGTGTACATACCCTTCTTCAATTCTGGAAAATTCTCAGTGAATATCTCCTCAAATATTGCTTTTCTCCCATTGTATATAATCTCTTCTTATAGAATTTCCATTAAACATATGTTGGGCCTCTCAACCCATCCCCCATTTCTCGTAAACTCCTTTTCATATTTTATCTCTTTATGCTGCGTTCCTGATGGTTTTCATATGTAAGCCTGATAGATAACTTTCTCTTCAGCTATATACTAGTATATTTAACATGGCAATTGAATTTTAAATTTTAATGACTTTATTTTTCACTTCTAGAAATTCTATTTGGTTCTTTTTCAAATCTTGTCTTATGACTTCTATAATTCCTTTTAACTCTTTAAACATTTTAAATATATTTATTTTATAGTTCTTTTCATATTTTTCCATTATCCTCCATAGTAAAATCTTCTATTGATTGTATCTGTTTTCTCTCCCTCATGTCTCCTCCTCATGTTGTTCTTTACTCATTTCATGATTTTTGATTTTTAATTTTGCTCATCTTCATTTGGAGTAACTTTGGTGTTGATTTCTACAGGTGTCCCCAAAGCCCTGGGTTGTGAAATTATCCCTACAATGTATTTCACAATGGCCTCTGTGGGGCCCTTGGAGTTTCACTGCTTCCAGACTAGTTTTCATTTTGTTTTTTCACCCTGATGTTCCTAAACCCCAAGGGTGCAGATTCCCACATCTTCAAGTCCCATAGGCTTAGATTCCCAACCTTTTATGGCTGACTCTTTTTCCACCTAAGTGTGTAGGGTGGAGACGGTCAAAAGTTTTACCTTCTTTTTTCTGTTCTGTACTTCATGGTCAGTGTGGCCTTCTAGGCTCCTGGCTTTGTGCAAAGGATTCCTTACAGATCTTCATGTTGTCATAGAGAAAAACTTAAAACTCCATTGGCTGGCTCCTAGCACCTAAATCCTGATGAACAGCTATTCCACCAGGGCTTTAGCCCCTCTTAACACTCTGGTTTGGAGTGCCTCCATGGTATTTTCAATTATCTCATATACAAACAAAAGCTGGACAATATAAAGGAAGACCAAAGAAGAATTGACACATTTGAATTGTGTTAGTGAAGAATATTGAATATACCATGGACTGCCAAAGAATGAACAAGTCAGTCTGAGAGGAAATAAAACCAGAATACTCCTTAGAAGTCAAGATAGAGAGACTCTGTCTTGTTTAGTGTGGATACATCATCAGAAAAGACTAATTTCTAGAAAAGGACACATGTTTGGTAAAGTAGAGGGTCAACGAAAAAGAGGGTAACCCTCAATGAGATGAACTAAAACAACAGCTGCAACAATAGTCTCAAACATATCAGTGATTGTGAACATGGCAGAGGACTGGACAAAGTTTCATTCTGTTATACATAAGGTTGCTATGAGTAGGAGAAAACTAGACGGCCATTAACAACACTTCCTTTTTGGCACCAAGAGATTTCTCTTTCTTTTTGTTTAGGTTTGGTTATATCCATTTTAATAGTTATGTTTTATCAAGCATTTCTGTAGTTAGATGGGAGGTTAAGCTTCACCACAGCTCAGCTCTCAACTTTAACAGGAAGGCTCAACACACAGATATATAATTATAAATATGTTTGATTAAAATGTGACAAAATTGTGTTCCTAATATATTTCTAAAGGAGCCCTGGTGGTGCAGTGGTGAAGGCGCTCAGCTGCTAACTGAAAGGTTGGCAGTTGGAACCCACCAGCTACTCCTCGGGAGAAAGATGTGGCAGTCTGCTTCCATAAAAGATTTACAGCCTTGGAAATCCTATGGGACAGTTTTACTCTGTCCTATAGGGTTACTATGACTCAAGATAGACTCAACAGCAGTGGGTTTGGTTTGGCTGGATTTGGAATATATTTCCATTCTTCTTAAAATTGCAAGTATTTTGAGGGATTATTATAGATGCATCAATGTTGTCTTTACTCTCTGGCAGATGAATGATAACTGAAAACTAAAAACTTAGTTAATTCTTATGGTATCACCAAGTATGTAGGAGTGTGAATCACCAAACATAATAACGAGGCACCTACAATCCTCCTCACACTGTGTCCCACATTGTTTGCTTTTGGATTTTTGACTCATACCATCCTTCACAGGGACTGTCACTGCTTGCTGCCAATCCTGGTTGCTTTAAGGCAGCAGGATGTCTTGGCTAAGTGCTCTCATCTCTAATAACTGTGGGCCAGGTTATATGTACTAAGGTTTGTGGCTATTCTGTGCTGCAGAAAATTATTCTTTAGAATGTCATCACAGTGTTTTCTCACTTCACCTAGAGTTTGGTTTTTAGCCTCATAATGTTGGTAATAATAATAATTTCTTGTAAAATCTTAGTTTTTCTTTTCAATGAATGCTTGGTTATTGCAATAATAAGAGAATTCTCTATGAATTCCCCAAGTTAAATGAATAGCTTCTGTGAAATATGCTACACTAACATGAATATATTGACCAAAATAAAATTTGGTTAATGTTTTATCTCAATAATTATAGGAAAGAAGAGATTATATCTTTAAAACACAGAATTTGCACAATTTAACTATACTACTAACCAATCAATATATTGTGCTAAATAATACTAAGTTATTTGGGAAAAGAAGACAATGCTCAAGCAAATATATTCATTAAATTAGGGAAAACATAAAAATCTTTGTATTCCATCTTCCTAAGTCCCAGTCATATAATTACTCCTTTACTGGGAATCGTGCTTTAGATATTCCCAGCTTATTTTTATTTCCTCTTAAAGACTTCATGTCGTTTTTAGGAGAAATTATCCCCAGAGAAAGCATAAAATTAAATGTGAACCCCTAGACTTGAGGGGATATTTCTAAAGGTAATGGTGAATCTTTCCCAAAGAGCAAGAATAATGGCTTACTTGTATTGTATCTAAAATAGCCAGGTTCTTTCAATCAACAACCCAACTATATAAAACACTTTGAGACCCCTTCCTATGCTTTCCTAATAAAGGTTCATATTGTTTATTAAATGTGCCATCTATAGTTATATTATCAACATTGTAGCAATTACTTTCCAAAAATGAGGAAATTTTATATTTGGAGAACTGAGATCGGAGCAGATAGGAGGAGGATGCTACATTTGAATACTTGCCAATCAGTCATTTAATCTAACATGGAGAAACAACCTGAGGTACCTAAAAATAAACTTGGGACTGGATTTGAACAACATTAAAGTTTTTGGGTCATTTGTGTCTATCCATGTTAATACTGACTGTGAAGAACAATATGTAAAATAAGTGTAAGAATGGCTCTTGTGTGAAACAAAATCCCATAAACTATATTCTCTGGCTCTTGACATAATTTTAAATATTAAAGAAAGAAAAGTGAGAAAGATGTGTGAAGGTCTGTGTGCGTATGTGAGAGAGAGAGAGGGAGAAGCTAAGAGAGAAGGAGGATTTTAGCCACTATATAATTAAATTTTTTTAAACTAACAGATTAGTAACAAACTTGTAAAAGACAAAATTTATTTTTCAAATGAAATCTGTTAAAGAATTCGGTTATGTGAGAAGTAAAAGAGTGTAAGACTAAGGAAAGAAATGAGAATTTGAAATACACTGCAAGATAAATTGCAACCCAAAGCCACCACTTGCGCCAAACCAGCTTTGGAGAAACACATTTTGCTCTCCCAAAGATTGATGC